ATCAAAGACCTCTTACTACGGGGTGAACGCTGGACCAGTTTGCTTGGTGATCTAAATGAATCATCATTTGGGCTCATGTATCGTCTCTTAGGTGTTCGAAGAACAGGAGTGGCACTCATCAGTTCGGCCAGGGAGTAGACAAGTTCTGCAGGAGTTCTTTGAGTGGTAGACATTTCACTGGAGGAATTTATGTTTTTTACTAGGGTTTCCAGAAGAGATGGTGATAAACTAGCTGATGAAGTCATATTGGCTGAGCATTTTACACTTGCTAGATTCACAGATATATTGGAAGGAGAATTGGCAGCAAATGCACTAGTTTCCTGATCATAAGGGCATTTGGCTGGCTCAGGTTCTGAAACTGGAGCATGGTAGGAGACAACTAAATACTCTTGCTTCAAGTTTTCTACATAATGGGTTGAGCCCCGTAGGGAGAAAGACTTCTTGAAAGCTTAAGATAGATGTGATGCTGCTGCAGCTGGATGCCCTTGTGCAAATTCCATGGCAGGTGTCTCACTCCTCAATGATGGAGTTGAAGCTCTAAGTAAGTTCGTCTGTTGCAACCGACTGAATGGCTCTGGTAGTACTTCCTCTGGGACCTCGTCCCCCTGATTTCAGATGTGGTCTTTTGTAAGTCATGATATTCAAGCAAAACAACATCACCAGAATATAGTAAAAATACATTGACTGATGCACCATATACAAATAGACCGAGCCCTTCTGTCTTGACTAATTTAAGTGATGCCCATGTTTTTGGTTTTTGAATAACTTAAATCCCTCAAAGTCAAAGAGCATGCAAAAGTTTNNNAAAGTCAAAGAGCATGCAAAAGTTTGAAAAGAGCTATCATTTCTTGTATGGCTAAGTGGTTGGCTCTATTTCTAGATGAAAACCTATCTAGATACGACAAACAGTTTTCTTATGCAGGCAGTGAATCTCTAGCATTCTGTTTCCATCTTAATTCTCAAAACAATAATTATTTAATTAGTTTCATCCCATCATTCTTATTGATATAAACATTATTTAACATTAACATGTTTTTTGTTCAAATGTGAAATCTGTACATCTTCATGGCTTCTGAAACTGATTCATTTCATACAACAGAATAAGATCTATGTAAATTTTAATATCTAATGAAACGGAATAACAAGTTCTGTTCTTCATCCAAGTTATGATTGTATACGTACAATCAGGTTATAGCCAGGCTACCCAAAATGACTCCTTTTAAGTTTCTTGAGAAGAATATCAAGTGCCGTTGTTGAGAATGATCTAGTTTATTTTTCCAAATCTTATTCATTAAATATGCACATAATTAATTATAAATATATGTTGAACAACATGCAGTTA